GTATTTTCGTAGGTTCGGTGGAAAATCAATTCTGGGTAAGTCAATGGTGTGATCGTTCCTTTGTTCGAATTGTGGAGCTATCGGGTCAGGGGCTCATTCCGTGGTTCGGCGTGGTGGCAGAAGGGCACAGAGCAGTGTTGCAGATGGAAAAGGTGCCCCTCTTCAGCGTGAGCTGGGAGTGTACTCGCACTTGTTTTTTGCTGACACGTAGTGCCACCTTCCCGTTTTCGCGCCCAGCTCCTGCCTGTCATTGTGTGTCATGCACGGTTGATTCGGTCTGCATCACGTTAGTAGATTGTCTTGTCTGGCTGCGTTATGAGTTCTCGTTACCTGGTTGCGATGTGTTGTCATGCCCGACTCTCGCACGCACGCCTCGCAATCGTGCGGGCTGATATGTTGGAAGCTGGTAGGCAAAGCCAGGCCACAGCGGATTTGGTCTCCCGGACCCGAGCGCACTGCCTGCAGGCTGAGGGCTCCCAGAACCCACGGGTCCTCCTCGGGTTGAGTTCCCAGCGCGTGCGAAAGTCCACGCTCCTGCATGCACTCCCCACATCTCGGGCGCTCGAGAGCGCCTCGACGTTCGGCGCGGCCCCGGTGAAGAGCTTTTGGCGCACACACGGAGTCGGAGCCAGTTAACCAGGCTCTGATGATCGGGGGCGGCAAAGAGGGGGGTGAGAACTAGGGGGGGGGGATATCATGGCGGGGGCCATGATATTTCCCGAGAGTTCATGGTGCCTCTTCTTGTTTCATTGCGTCCCTGGCCCCCCCGCTGGGCCGCGCACATGCCGCCGGTCATGATTTGCACCCCCCCCTCTTGGACACCCCTCTTTTGGCCGCTCCCGAGATGATAGGCCCAGGCAGGAGGGAGGTGGGCGGGTGAGGAGAGGGGAAGATGCGGGGAGGGCGCGAGACTACGGATACAAGACACCCGCCATGGGATACGATGGGAGCAGAACGGGAGCAGCAGGAGGACCATGGCGCGACGGAAGATGCTGGCCCAGGCCACCCCTTGACAAAGATCCGAGGGAAGAGAGGGGGTGATTCGTCTGACGCTTTCAAAGAGTCCAGATGAGTCTCCGCCCTCTTGAAGGTCGGCCTAACTTTCAGCAGTCCCACCGAAACATGTGGCACGCTGGCAGCGATTTTGGGGAGCCTCCACGCGACCTCTATGGCCAGCTGTCCCGTGCAGGATGTCCAGAAGCAGCGGCCAGGAACTTTGGGATCTCGTGTCGCAAGGGGGCGGCTCCCGCGACGCGCCGTGCCCTGCAAGCGGACAGGGCGTCGCTCCGCTCCGCAGGCTGGGAGGCGGGGATCCGCCTGGGAGGCTGCCGCTCGGGGAGGCCCGGGAGTGGCTATAGCGTGTCGCGGCGAGGCGGGGTGGGCCAGAGCCGGCGGCGCGACAACACACACACACACACACACACACACACACAAAACACACACACACACACACGCACACGCACACGCACACGCACACACACACACACACACACACACACACACACACATACACACACACACACACACACACACACACACACACACACACACGCACACACAAAAACACAAAAACACAAAAACACACACACACACACACACACGCTGTGGGAAAAAACACACACGTGTGGGAAAAAACATACAACAAACACACAGCTGAGAAATAGTTCTTGACCGCATCGTCTTCTGACGGCAGGGGGCGCTGCGTCTGGGCGTGCCGCTCGAAGCGCTTGGCATGTCTAAGGCCGCCACCGTCGCAGTGGAAGAGGGAAGATTCTCGAACCGCTCCCGCGCCGCTTCTCGCGCGGCTTCGACGGCCACAGACACGAGGACTCTTCTCTCTCTCTCTCTCTCTCTCTCATCCATCCGCATCTGGGAGTTGGAGCCGGCTGGGGGTCTGAGGTGTGGCCCAGCATTGGTTCTAGCCAGCAAGAAGGGGGGGATGTTCGAGGCTCTGGGCTCGACAAGGTCATTTACCTGTTCTCGGGCCCTGGGGCCATCGAAAACGGATCTGGGGTGAAAAATTCCACCGGATGGACCCTGGGAGGGGTCGGGGGATTGATGTTGAGCGGTTTGCCTTTACCCCTCCTGGCAGATTTTCTCGGAGTCCATCCAGTTCGGATTCCCTGGCCGCCTCCAATCTGGGAGTCGTGTCGTTGCTGCAGCTGGATTTCGCTCCCATCACTGACCGCGGATCCCGAAGGCTTTGAAAATCTTGTGCACCTGCCTGTTTTGCCCCGTCTCGTGGTTGCGCGCATCGGCCACCACGCCTAGAGGAGCAGCATGGTACAGTCAACCCGCACAGTAAAGATGGGCAACCTTCCCACCCTTGTATCCTTCCCCTTCGGCCCATCCTTGGCCGCTTTCGCTGGCCGCGCCCCGCTCGCAGAGTGTCGATATGGCCCTCCAGGGTCCCTGCATCCTGATCGCGCGTCCTTCTCATACTGGTTGACTGTAGTGCCGTGTGGCTGGGCGCGTGTATCTACAGTCGCGTGATTCTCTGAAGGGTTGCGTTCTCTGCCGCCAGCCCCCCAGGCTCTGCAATCTCGTGACCAGATTGAAACAGTTTGGGAGTAATATTGGGGCCTCTCGGGTAGGTTGAGGCTAATTGGGCCACCTTCGGGCGATGTTGCGCAATCCCGGGTTCATATCTTAGGTGCTTGCCTGCGGGGCCCATGTTGGGATCATGTTTGAGCCTTAATGGGCTATCCAGGCGACCTGCGCGGCATTATGGGGCCTTCGGGGTTCTTTTGGGGGGCCATCTTGGACGATCTCGGGGGCCCTGGGGGCCATCTTCGAACGGCATTGGGACATCGTGGCAGCAACACACGGGAAAGGGAAAACATAAAAACACTACAGTTGCTCAATGTGGGTTGCCCTCCAGGGGGTTCCTTGGAGCCGTCCTCAGCCATTTTGAGAGGCAGCGCGAGGCCATCTTCGGCGGTCTTGGGCTCTTGAGGCTCTCGTCGGCGCCTCTTGGAGCCGTCCCGGAGGCTTCTTAGGCCACTGGCCGTCTGGCGGCGTCCCGAGTTGGAAATCATGGGTCAAACCACAGCAGTCAGGTGGCACTTTTGTCTGCCGGGTCGGGGCCCCTGGCGGGTAGTAGAAAGGAGACAGGACTGGAGATATGAAATAAAACACGGCGCGAAGAAAAGAAGCACAGCAGTCCAGCAGCACGCTTCACACCCCTGCGCCCCCAAGGGTGCCAGCGGGTTGCGTTGTACGTCTGTTGTGTGGAAGCGCGCACTGTCGTATGAGCATATCCCCTGTTGGTGCGTCACTGCAGGGTCGCACGGGGACCGTTCGGGATGGGGCTTCTCGGGCGCCTGCAAGAGGGACCTTCCCGATGGTCCTGGCGAGGCTCCCTGGGAGCACGTTGGTTACTCGCTGGGGGTCTTGGCTCTTCTCCGCGGCTCTTCCACCTCAGAGCCGCCTTCCGAGCCTGTCCTCTGGAGCACGCTCCGACCTGGACCTCGGTGCGGAAAAATCAGCCGCGGCGACAACAGCCTAGAGGCCCAGGAGGGAAGAAGGACAAACGCAATGAACATGTTTCGGAGGTCCACGCGAACGTGTCGCCGTCGGCGCTGGACCCCGCTTCCCCGGCGCGCGGAGCGCGCCAGGGGCGCCGGCAGGAGGTCCCGCGCCGCGCGGACTTTCGAAAGGTCACGCCCACTTCGTGTTTCGGCTTTCCACCAAAGCAGGACATGGGAAATCGGAACATGCGCATTACCAGCCAGCTGCTTTTCGATTCCCCAGATCTGTTAGGGTCGGGGACGACGTCGGGGCGGTGTGGCGTATATCCGTTCTGCCCGCTTCCCAGGGAAGCAACGAAGATGTATACACCAGGATCCCGTATACACGAGGATCTCTTGTTTGCAAAATTCAGTGCATGGCCGGAAAAGCGGCGGTGTATAGAGTTCGGTTCCTTGGGATAGGACTGCATCAGTTGGCTTCCATCCTTAATTCCCCGTGTTATCTCATTCTTTGTTCCTCCTCCCTCCTTTCGGGGAAACGCAAGGCTCGGGTTTGCCAAAACTCGGGCTCGCCGTCCTTTCGGGGAAACGCAAGGCTCGTGAGTGCCAGAACTCAGGCTCGCCGCCGTTTTTTATTAGATGCTCCTGGCCTGAAAGCTGGCGGCCTGGTGTTCGTGAGATGACTGCAGCGAAGGCCCGCATCAGATTTCGGACTGGGCTATGTCGCTTCCCTGGAAGGCTCGGCTAGCCAACTCGAGACCTCCAGACCCGAATCCCCTTTTACGAGCCACATCCACCACCCCTGGTCTTAAGTCGGACTTGTCCCTCTACAGGAGAAGTCTTCAAAAATAGCCACACACACACACACACACACACGAAATTACCCTGCGACGTACCCAGCCCATGCGCATCAAGTGGCAAGAGGAGTAGGCTAACATTAGCAGGAACGACGACAGTGTAGACGCGGTGAATTGCTGCGCAAACTACATGGGATGCGAATGCGTTGCACGACTCACAGGACACCGATCGAAAGAACGAGGATTGAGGCCCCAGTTTCGAAGAAGAACGGGGACAGGAACGAGGTGCAGGAGAAGGGTGGAATGGGAGGTAATCTGAATCTGCGTATGACCCCACTCCGCTGGGCCCCCCAGCAGCCCTCGAAAGTGGTGACAGTTTCGCAGATCGCAGCCCCCCAGGGATGGCGAGGTCTAATCTGAATCTGCGCATGACCCCACTCCGCTGGGCCCCCCAGCAGCCCTCGACAGTGGTGACAATCTCGCAGATCGCAGCCCCCCAGGGATTGCGAGGTCGAATCTGAGTTTGCGTATGACCCCACTCCGCTGGGCCCCCCAGCAGCCCTCGAAAGTGGCGACAGT